AACGTTGTACGTCAAAGTGAAAACCTGAAATTCCAACTATCCACCTTCAACCCTCCTCAGCGTGTGGAACGTGTAAACAAATTGTCACCACGGTCATCCTCTGAAAACAGGGTACGGAAGTTCGTCTGCTACCGATGCGGGGATCAGCACACTTCTCCCACGCAGTGTCCTCATACTCGCACAAAGTGCAGAAATTGCGGGAAACCTGGCCACCTGGCACGTGTTTGCCGTTCCCCACGGTCACAAGTCTCGATCAAATCATTGAACTCCGATGACGGTGAGTGCCCAAATTCCCAGCTAAATTTTATGAACCAAATAATTTCAAACTGCTCAGTTATGACGAAAGTGTCTCCAAATAGGATCACGCTTCATGTTAATAACGAACCTGTTTTATTTGAATTGGATACTGGTTCCTCGGTGACATTGATTAGTAAAAACGCACTCTCATCGTTACCCGACCTAGAACCGACTGATACCGTTTTTAGAACCTACACAGGAGAAGTGATTGATTTACTTGGGAAGTGTCAGGTACGAGTGCAGCATCAGGGTAGCTCACACAGTCTGGTACTTCATGTCGTGCCTCAGGCTCCAGTCCATTTGTTTGGTCGCGATTGGATGAAAATGTTACCACAAGTATTAAATACTATCCAATCCGTGGGGGAGGATACCTTTGAATCGGTCCTTAAACGATATCCAGAAGTGTTTGACAAGCAGCAAATAGGCAGACACAATAATTTTAAAGCAAAAGTCCATGTGTCAGACTCAAGTACACCAAAGTTCTTTAAGGCCAGAACACTGCCCTATTCCTTACGACCTAGAGTGGAAGACGAGCTGAAAAGGCTTCAAAGAGAAGGTATAATTGTACCAGTCCAACAAGCTGAATGGGCGGCCCCGATAGTGCCTATACTTAAGCCCGACGGTAACGTACGAATCTGTGGTGATTATATGATTACAGTAAATCGAGGTGCCATCATAAACAGTTATCTATTACCGAAAATTGAGGATTTGTATGCCAACTTGTCTGGAGGAGTCAAGTTCACTAAATTGGATTTGAGTCACGCCTATTCGCAGGTAGAGTTGGATGAGACCTCCCGACGTCTTACGACGATCAGTACACATTTGGGGCTATTCGAGTACACTAGACTGCATTTCGGGATTAACTCAGCGCCGGCGATCTTCCAAAGGATAATTAACAATATCGTGCGTGACATACCGAACCCTTGCGCATATCTCGATGATATCCTTATCACGGGTCGCACAGAAAAGGAGCACTTGTACATGTTGGACCGGGTGTTGCATAAACTCTCCGAACACGGTTTGCGTTTGAATCGCTCCAAATGTGCTTTCCTAGTTGATTCAGTCGACTATCTCGGTTATAGACTAGACAAGCATGGTTTACACGCGCGGTAAGATAAATTACAACCCATTAACTCTGCACCCTCACCTCGTAACGGAGACCAGTTACGCTCGTTCGTTGGAATGCTTTCACATTATCGTCGGTTTCTACCTAATCTTGCGTCTGTTCTAGCACCACTTCACAACTTGCTGAAGAAAGATTCTAAGTGGGCATGGGGCGAGGGAGATCAACAAGCATTTGACAGGGCAAAAGGTCTCCTTGTTTCTTCACCAGTCTTGGTACATTACGACCCCAACAAACCCCTCATCCTACAGTATGATGCTTCACCTTTTGGAGTCGGGGCAGTTCTGGGACATAAAGTCCACGACGGAACAGTTCGCCCTATAGCTTTCGCGTCCCGCACATTACAACCTGTTGAGAAAAATTACGCGCAATTAGACAAGGAAGCACTGGCCGTAGTATTCGGAGTAAAGCGGTTCCATCAGTACTTGTGGGGCAACTAGTTTGAGATACAGACTGACCATAAACCACTGTTATCACTTCTTGGTAAGGAACGAGGCATAGAACAACTTAACGCACCCCGAATGGTACGCTGGGCCCTCCTACTTTCTGCTTACAATTATCAAATCCGATACATTGCCGGTTCTCACTATAATGTCGCTTATGTGCTCAGTAGATTGCCACAGATTGACCAACAGGGGGAAAGAAGTGACGCGCCCTACGAGTTTGTTCAACTTTTGCAACACCTGAATATTACACCCATAACTGGCGACATGGTTTGTTAAGCTACAGACAGAGATCCCGTCCTATCGACTGTGAAACGTATGTTGCTGCGTGGCTTGGGTTCGCGAGCCCCTGGTGATCTGCGTCCGTTTTTCAATTATAGATTTGAGCTTAGCCTGCATGAAGGATGTATCCTACGTGGATCTCACATCGTTATTCCACTGACTCTCAAGTCAGCTGTACTGAAAGAATTACATGATGCACATCCAGGTATTGTCCGCATGAAAGCCCTCGCCAGATCCTACTGCTGGTGGCCAGCGATTGACCGAGACATCGAAGCACTTTTGAGTACTTGTAACACATGCCAAAAATATCAAAGAGATAATCCAATAGGCCCAATTCACCCTTGGCAGTTGCCCGACAGCCCATGGGAACGTGTCCACGCCGATTAGTTTGGCCCGATCGAAGGAAAAATGTTGCTACTTTTGGTAGATGCGTACTCCCAATGGATTGATGTGCATGTTGTTGCAAACGCTACTGTAGAAGCTACAATCAATGGCGTACGCTCTAGTCTATCTACACATGGCATACCGAAAACATTAGTCACTGACAACGGTCCGCAATTTCCGAGTGCAGCGTTCAAAGAATACCTGCAGAGCAACGGCGTTCATCACATGACTTCCGCACCGTACCATCCAGCGTCAAACGGTTTAGCTGAAAGAGCGGTCCAAACCGTGAAAGCTGGTCTTCTAAAGCAGCGCAATGGCTCGTTACGAATCAAACTTGACCGATTCTTGTTCGCATATCGGATCACACTGCTAGAGTCTATCGGAAAGAGCCCTGGGCAGGCAATGTTTGGGCGTCGACTACGTACGAGGCTAGACCTACTTTTTCCAGACCCTCGTCAGACCAGGCGTTGCCAGCAACAACGTATGCATGAAAGTGGACGCGCACCAGTTAAGCCCCAGAAGTTGATAGTGGAACGTGATGTTTACACGAAACTACCACATGAGCAGTTATGGCAGCCTGGCACCGTGCTTGCGAGCTCAGAAACGGAGGCCGTAATACAACTAGAGAGTGGAGAGACAGTATGCAGGCACAATGATTTTATCCGGCCCTGCACCCAAGTCACACAGAACCCTGGGGAAGAGAAAGTGGTTCCAGAAGAGCTGGAGGAGACAAACAAAAACCAAAAGGAAGAAATCGATCAGCCGATTGCTATTCGGAAACCGCACCGCTCACCTAAGCCGATAGAAGGTTACATTTCACAACTGTGATTCCATCTGTCACGTGAGCGGAGGTTACATGTGTGTCGTCCGCTAAACCGCTGAGCCGATTAGCAAACACAGACACCTACAGAGCGATTGACCGATAGGTGATTCGTCCACTATTTTTTCCTTGTGCTTATTGGATCCATTTCGACTTATTCATCTGGTGTTACCTACAAGCCATCTATTGCGGTTTTTGACACGTCCTATCCGGTGTGTGTTCTTATTCACTTCTTGCGCGGACTAAGAGTCCAGATGCGATCCAGCAATACGCGAGGAATACGTATCACAAGGCAGAAGCAAAACAAAACTAAGCGGTTACACACTGAAACTTACAGAACAGTATAGCCGTCTGGAGTGTAGCAGGAATTTGGTTTCCATTCGTGTACGTCACCCGTGAAATGCTCTCCTAGAGTCGGCACTCTCTGTACCGACAATAGCAGTATTTAAAAGTAGGTTGAATAACGCCATCTTCTGCGTATACTACGCAATTTGCATTACTCCTAGCGTGTACCACGGACTATTTTAATGTTAAGTGCGTCTGCTGTGAATATAGACGGACTGCAGAACTAAAGCGGAACAGATGACAAGTCCTTGCTTTCCTAATGATTTTACTGCTTTATTATTATTAGTAAAGTTATCATAATAAAATGCCCAAGAACTATCCAACCGGACTTGTAAAACAGCGCTTTTTAACTCCCATGAATCCACTTCTACATTGGTGTCCGTCTCCCTGTTGGTAAGTTTCAGCAGCTAGCAAAACTTCTCATGCGGTCGGTAACCGTATGTGGCGTACACACCTGAATATGCTTCACGTGTGCAGATGGCGATGTTCGCGTCCACGTTTTCATTATTCCTACTACGTCAATGTCGGCCGGTGAAAAGTAACCTTGACCAATGCGCGTTAGGAATATGCGTGACAGTGCGGAATTAATCGCGACATATTGTAGCCAGTTAGTAATCATGGCAGTCTAGTGCTGTCAATTATGTCTTGAGCGCATGTCCCAATGACTTCAGCACGCATACTAGTCGTGGTTCAACGCCCAGATTTGTATGCGGTATGTGTACTGCTGCCCGAACCACAATGGAACAAAGGTAATACGTTGCGTATCTATCAAACATGTGTAAATCAAACTTAATTTAACTAGATGGTGAAGAAATATGACAAGTCCGCAGCTGCAAGTTCTTTCTATCTTAATTCTTTGCAAACTGGTGTGGAGCAAATTATCTGGCGCTGTATTTAATTTTCCTTACACCGCATATACTTGGACCAGTTGCAATTAAAAGCCTCATCAGTATAAATGAAATTGCGAATCAACTTGTTCACATCCCAATACCACGTTGATATTGCGACGGATTGCTGGATTGTACATCCGCGATATCCTTGCTCAGTGCTACAGGTGAGGCGAGAGAAACTATCTATTATGGAATTGTACTCCATTACAATCATGTGAGAGATGTTCAATCCAGCCTCTACAAATCGTGGACGCCATCGCTTCAGCTACACCTCCAAACAATATCTATACGAGTCGGTGAGAAGCGTCGTGACGTATGCATGAAATAGGGATCAAAATGATTGGGAGTTTTATCAACCAGAATTTCACAGAATGCGGACAGATTTCAACGTGAAAATTACAGTACAATGCACTGACCTTTAACTGTTTCTTTCATTTCAGCTGTTACCTTCTCCGTCTTTTCGCCAGGCGGCATTGTCGGCACTTTATGTGAGTAAGAACGGAGAGAAAAACATTTACTAAGCAGGTTAGCCAAAACATGTACCAGTGTGAGGGAAACGGGTGAACATATTCGCAGATATGGTGCTCAAAAATCCTGAGAAGAAAATCTAATTCTACATACTAATCCATCGTCGTCTTCCTCGCCCAACAATTTTGACAACCCATACTATCGTCATGTGTGCGGAGTTTCCATTCGTCGTGGAAGGATGACATATAGGAAAGTTTCCGTTATAGCAATATTATACCCAAGTGTGGTTAAGTATATAAAATGTCCTAAAATGGCGCAAGGAATTTTAACAATCACCGTAGCCAGAGTGATCGAAATGCAGTTGATGGCATTTGTTATTCTAACTATTTGCGGTACAGCGTCCAGTGGTCAATAACGGGAACAAAGTGTTCCAACAGCTTGTTCTCCATTCTACACAACCAACTGTGTAGGTTGCTCCATTAGTTTGGAAATTGCCGTTAATGTAGGAACACATGGAGTTGGACTTGTTGAGAAAGTGAAGGTAATTTTGCAGATCAAGAGCCTATGTATTTCATCGAAACACCGTCGAATTCGCATAATCACAATGATTATTTTCAACAGTCCATATGGTTACACTACGTTACGTTTAGGCATTATCCAGGTAAAGGCAAGAGAGATTGACAAGTAGTGACGAAGAGAGATATTACACATTTTACTGGTGAGAAGAGCAAATCAATATGGGATTTGGTGACCGCTTTTCACCATAGGTGAAAGATAGAGCAAAGATTCTTCTGAGTGAAAGCTGGTCTGTACGATGGAGATATTCCACCGCATCTTGGTGTCCATCGTAGCGTTTCCTCTGATGCTACCGATCTTCTCCCAGACCACGGTGAAGCAAAGCTGTTAAACAATCTCTTTTATACTAGACATACATCATTTGGTGTGTCATGGTCAATTGTTACTATGCAGCCCAATGTATACAGTGGAGCGCTCTTCGGATGTATTCCTCCGTGGCATATGATAGATCTTCCCTACTGATTTTCCTGACTAACCGTGACTCCGCTGCTCTCCGCTTGTCTACGTACATGCGGCAACCGTGGCTTACGTCCCTAACAAAAACGTCAGGTTGTGGATGCGGAGCAAAATGAAATTAAGACACCAACGAACTATTCATGTTCGCACAAGACACCGTACTTAAGATCTAACGGATGTGCTACCACGAATAGAGTAATTCCATTACTCATTAAGGTCTTTATACTGGAGAGTGGAAACGACTGGTCTAAACTCACAGTTCCTATCTCGCATCAAAAATGACAGATGGCTACGTAGCGTCCACACCGCCACAAGCGGCCATGAACCACCCGTACGCCAACGAGGTAAATGAGTACTCCGAATGGAAGCTGGTCAAGTGTACTCCCACTGCACTGAAACTCAAATCGCCAATAAATGAGGCCGGAACCAAGGAGCTGGTCTCATTCGTTCCGCGTCTGCTGAACCGCATGAACACCAACAGCAGCTAAATACAATTTGAATAAGGATGCTCTATAACATTTTATCTTCCTTTTTCCCGAGGTCAGGTAAAATTTCATTGCATGTCAGAGATGTTTTATTTGTTTTACTGTATTGATGATCGCATGGAAAAATGTTTATAAGGCGAAATGTACAACGTAATGTGGGATTGAAACTATGACGATGAAACAACTACCAACAACTGTTATTTTGGTAGAACGAAACGCGTTTAACGCCCCTGTACTCTACATGTCATATTAATATTTATGCGATTAGCACTTCTTCCTATAAATTTGGATGGTATGATCAAAGGTTTTACCAAATAAACTGGCGGTCCACTCGTACTCACCCTGACTGTGGCTGATTTCCAACTGTACGATTGAAATGAATAAAATGAGAAGAACCGTTCGTATTTTCATCACCATGGTAGTCTACCGCACAAACGTTGCCCCACTTGTTCCGTGAATGTTGTGGACACTTGTTTATATAGGTGTATCAAGGTCTTGGCTTAGGCTGCTTGAGAGTAGTTGAAATGCTAACTTTGGGTTGCACAATAACATTACTATGCGTGCGTGGCAGGTTTTTTTGGTCTGTTGAATGTAAGCACGTGGTCAAGAACTCAGTGCATAAACTCACTGGAATGCGTTGAGTTTAAACTTGACGGAGTAGTCATTTTCAACCCGATTAGATCTGGTGAACCGCTCAAGTATGCACAAAGTATACCAAATATGTGAAAATCTGTGCTTCTGCCATGCTGTGCGTCCATCGCCCACACTGAGATTGTCAATAGACAAGGTTACTAGCAACGCTGTGCACTAATTTTCGTAAAACACCAGTGTGACTTGTACCCCCTGAAAAAATCAGCAAGCACTGCTGCTAAAGAATACGAAGGCTTTAGAGTATCATACGATTACAACTGGCTTTAATGACAAAATTCCGTGATTAACCAGTACCCTTCATATCAATGCGACGTTCCAGATTCACACAGGTGAAGCGGAATTACTAGGAAAGTTCAAGGATCGTAAATTGCACATTCTAGTCTCGACAATTTTAGTAAACCACTAAAGTTTAATCCATATTTAGCGACATCCGGTTCCTGAGTTGCCTGTCAAAGTGGCCTCTGTAGGACAGCCACAGAACGTTTGCGCCTACATAGTGACTCTCGATGGCATGGCAGCACTACGCACATCACCAACCACAACCCCCATGTCCCGTGTAAACCCGCAGGAATAAGACAGGGAGGCAAGCGGAAAGGAGCCGTGTTACATCAGTGGGACCGGCCCACACTCGTTCCACATGTACAGCAGCAGCATTCCTGTCTATCTATGTAGGGAATCATGGGTATCAGACGTACACTAAGTGGAGCCTGGAACGTAGTCCGATCCACACCGGATGGAACCACTATTTGAGACTAGCACGGCTACGAAAACCATGCACACTGTTCGCACCAGCAACCTTTCACAGTAACCTGGATCCAGTAATCGAAATGGAGGTTGTTAGACAGATAGACATATTGTCAACATTCATATCAAGCGCTGTCACACCGGGGAGTGTAGACAAAAAACCTCGAATTTAAAGCAAATCAAACACGCATAATTGATATGTAAAACGCTGCTCCAGGATTGACAGGTGCCTGAACCCGCGCTCACCATTGCTGGACATGTTCTGGAGCAAGTCCCTTGCTTCACTTACCTAGGGAGTTGCATCACGGCTGGTGGCGGTGTTGGAGATGAAGTCTCACAACGGATTGCAAAGGCCCGCCTTGCATTCATCAAACTGAGACATCTATGGCGTCGTCGTGATGTCAGTCTCAAGCTCAAGGGCAGGGTGTACAATGCTTCCGTCCGTGCAGTACTCTTGTACGGCTGTGAGACTTGGCCTATTCACTCGGAAGATATGAAGCGGCTATCAGTCTTTGATAATCGCTGTCCACGAAGGATTGCTAGGGTGTGGTGGCAACACCACGTAAACAACGCAGAGGTGAGAGACCGCGTGCTTGGGGCGAATAGTGCCAGTCTTCAAGACGTTATTCTCCGACATCGCATGCGCTGGCTCGGGCATGTTCTGCACATGCCAGCCCATCGCCTTCCACGTCGAGCGCTATTTGCACTCCCAGGGAGCGATTGGAAAAAGTGCCGCGGTGGACAGCCGATGACGTGGAGAAGGAGTATGAAGAAGGCGACCTCAAGTTTGGCAGCAGTGGGACCAGTCCGCCTTCCAGGTTGGGGACCACGAGATGCTGAATTGCAGTGGTTGGAAACATTGGAGGTCATGGCAACAACAGACATCAGTGGCGGCAATGTTGTTTCGCAATTTCACCATCCCTTTGATACACACAAAAACTCACAAAACAAAACCAAAAATACAAAATGGCGTGTGTAAAACCAAAAAAATTCGTTTCCCATATTTTTTAATCGCATTAGTGTCCCCATCTTCTTCACCTTTTTCTTCTGCCATGGTTCTGATGGCACAATGTCTGTTAACAGAATATGCAGCAGAATAACAGAATTGGACAAACCACATAAAGAGGAATGCTTTTAGCCAGATTAAAAAGCCCCAGCTTAAGTGCAAATTTCTTTAGTCAAAATGCGTTGAAGATGCGTCATGAATGCCACATCAACCGCAGTATGAGGCGTAATATATACCATTTACATTATTTCTTATTGGTTCTCCGGTGCGTCTTTATTTCCGCAGTGGTGAAAGCCAGCGATGTATAGGGTGGAATACTTAGGAATTATCATGCGAATAATACAGTGTAATTCTACTCTTTCCTAGAAGATGAGCGTATCGGATCGTTGCAGCGCCAGCACTTACCAGGTGACAATTTCACAGGCATTGTTGTGGCGTGTGACAGCACAGCGAAACGTTCTGTGGAGGGTGATCACAGGAGAAGGATGCTGGATATTTGAGTACAATCAATAGACCAAAATGTAAAGCTCCGAATGGCAGCGTAAAGGGTCACATTATCCGAATAAATCCCGCATGGGCAAATCAAACATAAAAACTGTGTTCCATGATTCTGATTTTTTCATGCTCGTCAACGTTAGATGAAAATTTCTACCTCGAGTTAATCCGACGGCTTCATCGACGACTCCATCACACCCTTCCTGGGATCACCGACAGCTGTATCCTTCACCCTGAATATGGAGTTTCTGATTAAGGGACGAATTTCATCAAGGCAGAGTGAGGAGATCGGTTGTGATATGTTAACATTTCGATTGTTTTCTTCAGCCGCAGTCACAATACGAGCAGAAACACGCAAACGTGTATACACACACGGAAAATATGAACAGTATCAAGCATAATGTCACTGTCGAGACTAAGGCAACCGAATTGATTGCCTCAAGAGTTTCTGTGTATATGGCATAAGTTGATAGACATTATTAACAACGCCCCACTGATTGCCAACATTTTCGTTTTTTGTACTAAAACACTCTAAACGCGGCTTCGATATTCACGTGCTGACGAGTTACCATTAGGCCCTTGGTGATATACGGTGCCGGGCTTCGCTTAATCTTCAACTCCGTCCCGTATTGTTGCGTCATCAATTGTCCCAACCACTTTATCAAATGTTAAGCTACCCTCTGTGCTAACTGACGGTCAGTTCCGTCTACGTAACTCTCACCAAACTGCAGGTCAATTGACAAATAACAAGAGAGTCCGAAATAGCCGACGGGTTCCTCTAAGCGTTATGAAGAACAAGTCCTCGCATTTTATGCATGATTCGTAACTGGGCGGTCGTGTGGATGCGCCCGATATATTTTGCCAAATGATCCCACTTGCTTGACGAGAACAAGTAAACATCCATTTGCTCTGCCGTTAGAACCGACCTTTTCTTGTTGGGATGAATGCTGTGTACTTGGATACACTTCGCAGGATACCCACTCGAATTTGAGGACTTGCGTGGTATTGAATCATCAGTTTTAAAAGTTTCGGAGCAGCAGATACGTCTGGCTCGGTAGAAAAGAGTTTTCACTAAGCCGCGTCTTGTATGAGACCGGGGCGAAACTGGGGAAAGGAAGGTATTGTTCATTCCAAGTCAATTTACGTTGAACAGTGACCTGCAGTTTACCTTCAGCCCGTCTCCTCATGAGTTTACCAAAAAACGGCAAACAACTGTCTTTTTCCAATTCAGGATACCGACAGGTTGAAGTGAATCGCATTTAGAACGGTCGATATCTGCGTACAATCTTCTCCGCTGGTGTAGACTATAATGTCATCCACATACCGACTTTACAGTCCCGTTTCAACAATGCTGGCAGGATCTTGCATTTCTATCAAGCCAAGAAAGATGTCGGCGGAAACTGGTCCCAAAGACTACCAGTAGCGAGCCCGTTGATTTGTTTGTATACTGTCCAATCAAACGCAAACCGTATGTTTTCGGTGCATAATTGATTCAAATGCTTTAAGTACTCCACAAGCGCGACCACGGAGATACTCTGGTTCAGGATGAAATCGCACAAACCATCGACCGTCTCATGCAAACGAACTTTTGAGAATAGGGAATCTAAGTCGATTGGGTACATGAGCCCAGCACTCAAAGGCAACTGCTTCAGCGTCTCGGCCATTTCAAAGGAGTCATTCAAAAAATATGTGGCCAAGAGTTTACGCGCCGGGTCCAATCGTTTCGCCAGCCACCATGCACCATTTTGAGTTGTTCTTACACATAATCGGGCTTAGCGGGTTGCGTGCCTTTGTAACTTGTGTGCGCTTCTCATACTGAGTATCTGCTTGCCAGTCGGTTTCAATGGAATATATCGGGACTCACTGATGTTACCATATAACAAGTAGATCTGACGTTTTCCTGTCATTTGCTCCTAAACTAACATGTTGCTTTCGGGTGTATTATCTAGCTCGAGCTTCCGCGGATCTCCAAGAATGGACTCCAACCCAACCCAGTTGATTATTACAAATGCTTGATCTTGTACCCGGCTGCAGAAACATTACGTGCTCCATTTGTTTCACCTCCCATACCGCCGTATGGTGTTCACGTTTCAGCCAACACCTCTGGCTTGTCGTTGTACACAAGAACTTACAGGCTTGCCACAGACTGCGTATCGCTTAACCCTGTCGCCATGCGAATTGCTTCTGTTCCCCTGGGATGAAAGGAGTCATAAAAGAACGCTATTTTTAGACTGTAGCAGTCATTCGAAACGCCACAATGAGGTATCTTCGCAGCAACACAGTGAAGGAGTTCCAGGGGTACGAACAATTGACAGCACGGTGGAAGGACTGTGCAACTTCACAAGTGTCCCAATTTGAAGATGCTTACAGGTAAACCATGTTTCTTGTAATAAGTTATCTTTGTCAGTATCAATCCAATTAATTTCAGTACAGACCATGTAACCGCTGTATGTCCGAACTGAGGTACACAGTCACAGGCTATATTTTTTTAACGTGTTATTATTCTTCGCCATTCCTATGA